GGTAAATACACGGATTAGCTACCGAACACGTGCTTTCCCCCAACGGCCGTCTGCAGATTACTGAAAATGTGTTTACTTTAAAATATATAGTATGTATTTGTCCACAGTAACTAAAGTTTCACTAACTAAAATTTAGCTTTAAAAATAGCTGAAAACAGCCTATTTTAATAACCCCACTCCACTTCTTGCCACTGTACAAAAATGAAGCCAAAATTCCCTTTTTATGGGGACTGCCATAACTTTGTATTTTTACTCATCAAAAGAAACATTCAGTTCACATCAATTTTATTTGTGCCAATTTTAAACCTTTATTATATTATAATTTATAATATAATATTGCAAGGTAACATCCCTACAATAATGTAGAGAAAACCCAACAATCCGAAGATCCCCTATGAGCAAGCACTTGGCGACAGTGGGAAGGAAAAACCTTCAGTAGAACCAGGCTCAGTGAGGGGCGGCCATCTACCGTGACCGGTTGGGGGTGATGAAGTGACATAGATGAAATGCATGTCACTTTCTCACACATGCATAGATGTCATTATTGTCCTACATTTATGATGTTACAACAAATACAGCCACTCCTGGGTTACGGATGTAATAGATCCTCAGGATGGGCGGGTATTTAACTTTTTTTCTAATATTGTCTCTTTGTGATTTATTTTGACTTTGGAAACAAAATAATAATAATATTTTTTTTAACCAGTTTAAAAGCTGATTATTTCTTTGGAGTCAGTGTGAGAACTGGTAGGAGGGTTTTTTAGATGTGTTTGGATCTGGCTGAAGGTTGGCGCTTGATTTCTTTTTGCACCAGGATTGTATATTTGACGTAGAGTTGACTGGGAATTAAGTACAGGTGGATGGGGATGAAGCAGAGGTGGATGGGGATGAAACCTTTCTTCTTCTGGCTTGGGAGTAACAGTGGACTTGAGGTTGAGTGAGCTCCTAGACTCAGACTGCTTGTTTGAGTTGTCTACAGTTTTAGACTGGGCCCTAGTGGAAATAGGAGGTAGCAGGCCATACACTGCTCTTAGCTTACTGTCATATGTGGTAAGCTTGTTACCCATTTTGCCCTTAAGGTCTCTCATTTCTTTCTGTTGTTCTTTCAGCTCATTGTCGTCTTTGGATGGAAAGTATTCCACATTGCTCAGGTCAAATCTCACCTTTTTACGGCTATTTTTTCATCCCCATCCTTTCTTTGCTGCTCTGGGGAGGCTTTTTTCTCGACTTGCACAGTGTGGCCGAGCGTGTCATAAATTCCCTTCAGCTGTTGCAGCAGATAGTCATTTTCTTTTTTCCGTACTGCATTCTTTTGTCATTGAATGCCAATGTCTGTCATGGGTTGCACTTGAGGATCCACACACAGGAGTTAACAATGAAACTTTATTTACAGTTTCTTCTCCGAGTGTATTTGCAGGCTGTGCGGGGATAGTGCTATATACAAGACGTGAGGGGGCAGGGCTCCAGGGAAAAGGGAATCACACATACGCGCCACACGACCTCTCTCTCCACTAGTGATCAGTCGCTCCTTCCACACACCACTTGAGGAAACAAAGGGATGGGTCCGGGAAATCTAGGTACAAAGATACACACGTTAATATCTAGCACGCAGGAACGAGAAACCTTGGCTTGAACTTGTTACTGACAAGAATTTAACAATGATCCAGCACTGAACAGCAGACCTCTTCCCTCTTAAGTGGTCTTGATGAGGTCCAGGTGTTTCCAATACAGGGAGGCGTGGGCCGAGGGCGTGAACACACCATGAGTTCCGCCCCTGCAAAACAGGAGAGAGAAAGAGAAACAAAGAGAGAGCGAGAGATAGGAGCATAATGATCAGCGCCTTGCTGATCCCCCAGGCCGTGACAATGTCAGTTTCCACTTCTTCTATTACTTGCTTAAGCTTAAATACTGTGTGTTTGGACTTTGTCAGAGCTTTCTCAACCTCTTCTTTGTCCTCCACAGTTTGCGTCAACTTTGACTTCACTGTGAAGAGGTTGTCATTTGCAGAGCTAAGCTGTTTCTCGTGTTCTTTCTTTAGTTCT